TTTGTGCAAACTCACGCAGTAACTCGGACACATAGCACACGAGCATGTCTGTATAGATACATAATATAAAAGCTCGGTAAGCCCGCCTGTTTCAATGCACTGCACATACGCGGTAAACTTGACGCGAGCGTGAGTGCGGATCATGTCACGGCGCGTTCATCAGCGGGCACAATAGTATTGGCATGTGTTCGTACATGAGCCGAAGCGTCAATCCCACGGGCTGAGCTTAACAACAACAGAGGCGGCAGCAGTAGCAACGAAAAATCACCTCCTTTATAATCCCAAATGGATTTTGGAATATTTACTCAGTGGCGTCGTTATTTATTCTTCTCGGGACAAATTCAATTTTTAAATTGGCGCTAGTCCGCGGTGCGCTCACGTTTATTTATCTTTTTTTTTCCTGTTTCGTACCACACAGCTCGAAAGAAATTGAAAATGCCAAAGGATAATAAATTAGCATTTGCGGTGGCATAAGTGCTAGAAGCGCGGGTAATTAATAATGGTTTCATTACGGATCGTGTGCGGCGAGCAGCGTAAGGCCACATCGTCGCTCGCGCTCGCTTATACCTACATTTGAACTTGGCGCAGGTATGCACACAAACCCTTTTTATTTGCCAACGCCAACTTTTGCGGAGCTTAAAGGATTTTTTTTTTGTTCGCAGCGGTCAACTCGACTGCGGGGACGTAATTAATATAATATAAACAATATACCTTTGATAATTGCAAAGCCGCACATCGATTGAAATTATTGATATTATTAGTTATTACTGATAAAACATTATTCGGAGGAAGATTGCAGTTTCTAAACAATTAGCTAATCAATTATCAAAGTATAGTTAATACCTTGAAATATTTAAATATCGGCTCATATATTTTGATCTAATAATGATAGACCAGGTAGTTTTGAACATTATTCTTATAATTGTATGCATGGTAAAATAAAAAATGTAACTATATTCAAAGGTCTGAAATTGTGATCAGTTTCTTTAATTAATCTGTTTTGCTTGGAAAAACTCGAACTTCAATTTTAATGCTGATTTTATGACAAGAGCAATTCAAAATACGACCACAAAAAAAGAGTCTACAAGATAGATTCAAACGTTGGCTAATTAAAAGACTTGCTCGACTCGGCGGCGTTACAGAGGAAAGAAGAATGAAACCCGGATTTGCATAAAGATAATATTTTGACCAAGTTTACCGAGGAGACGCGGAAAAATATATTAGACTAGCCACCGTGTATAAGTGCACGTTCGTGTATAGGGTCAGCGCACACACACACACATACATCCATCCATTGCGCACATGCAGTATGAAATATAATTAAATAAACGCAAAAAAGAGAAAGAAAAGTTTCTCTTCTCTGCAGCAGTTAGCTACGAGTATCGTGCATGCGGCATACCACCTACACAATGCACATCAGACGCGAATAAGGAACGCGTAGCCTAGGTAGCTGCGAGCTCTCGTGCGATACGTATACGTATTTGAGGTACTTGCGAGATCGTATACATATACATGCAGTGGGGAGGCGCTATACCCACGAGGCAAGTCGTCGTCCACGCGTACTTGGACCTTAAAGTGACTCATATGTATTCATATTTATTCATATATATTCAAATATAAAACTCGGTAGCGCACGTCCATATATGTATTTATATAATATAGATATATATTTGTATTTATATTACGTGTACGGCTATATACACGAAACAGGAAAATATTTCTAGCGCCAACCCCTTTGAGCGTATCATTTTTGCATTATCGTTTTTCAATTTTACTTCTGACACTAATTAAACCTTGTTTTCTTGTAGGTTAAAAAGACATCGATTAAGACATCAGTAATTATGCATGTTTTAACACATTTACTCGTTATACGTCACTAAAGTTCTATTTCATAACATGGCAAAGTTTTAATTCAGAAATAAATAAACTGTAATGAACTTGTAATTGAATTCATGAAAATGTAATACTTTAATAAGATTGATAGCTTCTTTTAGATAAAATGATTTGTTCTGCAACGCGTGATAAATTAGTTAATTAATTAAGTTAATTATTTTTCAACCACTAATTTTTTGAATCTATCAACTTAAATGAAAAGATATGCAAGTATATGAATTATAAAAGAATAGAATGTTCTAAATTATTTCTAATTAAATCTTTATTTGAAATTATAAAGCAATCAAATTTTTATTCATTGCATTTGGCTTAGTTTTTAGGTAAAATTTCTTTCAATTATCTATAGCATTAAAATTCAGTTAATAAAATGCCTTTACTAAATTTAACCACGGGATGACAGAAGTCTAGGAGCTTAATTTGCTTTTCGGAATAGATATTGATAAAAAATATGAACTAAACCAAACGTATCAATCTCAACGGATATAAAAGTTCACTGATTCATCGATAACCGAAACAGCTACTTCTCCGCTGCAGCTGCTGCTCTTCGGCAAATCGAAAATATGTTAAATCGCATTATGCCGATGCATGACATTTTTAAAGAATATATATGTATCCGGGTTCGCGCAGCTGTTCCAACTTGATAGGTCCAATTTTGAAATCAAGCTTCAACGATTTTGAATAAATAAGATCGAATATCGATCGTTCGACTCATTGAAAGTTAAATATTCGCAGCTTCGTCCATGTAGTTATATTTTCATCGCCTCATAAAAAAATTAGCTCGAGAATCTGAAACTAAGATCATTTTCATCGGTGTAAAAAAATTCTCGTAGGTTAAAATTCACGAAGAACTATTGAAAATCAGTGATTACTTCGGGCGCTGATTTACAAGAAACTAAGCACTTTTTCACTCGATAGCTTCTCGCTGGGTATAAGTCGCTACTTTCATTGCCCCTTGCGCGCTCCGATTGAGAAAAAAGACTTTTTTACGGAACAATAGTTTTCAAACGTACAGCTTAGGTCTCATTTCAAAGATTCGAAGCTCGTTATCGAGCGTTTCAATTATATATACGTCTGATCAGCGACGTGAAGCTAAATGGTGCAACATTTTTTCCCCCTCTTTTATTTTTCGTGCTGAAAATCCATTCACTTATTTAGGAACGTTGGAGAAAAGACGACGCGGCGATGCAGGTGAGCCGGTTTGTTTTAACAAGTTACCTGCAGCATAAACAACCCGTAATCGTACGCCAGTCGGGAGGGCATCATTGCCTTTACACCGTACAGGAGGAGGCAGAAGAGAGAGAAAGAGAGAAAAATCCGATTGTCGGTTTCGAGGGAGAGCAAAAAAAAATTGTAAAAGGGTTAAGGCAGACCTGGACCGGAGCCAACCACTTACGTTCGCTCTCGGCCACTCAAGCTCCCCCGCCCTGGCACGTGTGTATGCGCATACATGCAGACGCAGCGCACTTTTATCCAGACTCTCTCTGTGCCGTATAGTCTGGTGGCGTCAGAGGGGGGACTATTGCAGTACATTGCCTCGTAGTAGCTCTTTATTATCGTTCGGGCTATTCTGCACGATGTATCAGCTTCTATATTCTTTAAATAGCTCCATACATAGCTAATACCGAGCGTGAAAAGATGAAGCAAAAAGCATCACCGCTGCACGGACTCGAAGTATATAATATATTTGGTGCAATTGATAAAAAAAATTTGCTTCCAGCTCGTTCGTGCGCGCACGTGTGTGTGTGTATATAACTTTTCTGTCAGAACCGTATATCAGTGTATGTACACGGGAACGAGCCATGCCAAAGAAAAATACTCGCTAGCGATGAAATTTGCATTTAATTATAAATGATTAATTCAGGTTTTACCTGACGCGGTAGCGACGCTGTAAATCACGTTTTACGAAGTAACGAGGGACAACCGCTTTCCCTCTCGACGCGCGGGCGAATATATAAGTGTTATAAATAATCAGCTGGAAGAAATTTGTCCAACAAGATGCTTGAAAACTAATTTTCGAAGCGAAAAGTTAGCCTGCATGCGGTACATTGGCGTTGGTGCAACTCAAGCTAGCTCTAGCTACTCCGCCGCTACCTCCCTCCCTCGTACTCGAGGCGACCGCGCGCGCCGTGCTGCAAGCCCGTAACGTAATATCCATAGGTATATAGCTTGGGGTTTATATATATCTACGGCGTGAACGACGCAACGACATTTGTCGACCAAAGTGGCGGACGCCGTTGTCGCTCTCTTGCTTCCATAATAGAGCGCGTAAACGCAAAAAGTTCCTCGCACTCTTCCCTAACAAATGGGTGCGAAATGTAGATCGCATCAATTTGTTTCGTTATAAAAATTATTTTTGCGAGCTCTCAGCGATCGTACAGTGGCGTCGCATGTGCGCACGCTTGGCATACGAGAATGTATAATGGAGAAAAATCAAGCGCCGGAGGAGCAAATTGAAAAGAGCGAAAACCGCACGGCGTTACAGAGACGAGTCGTTCGCGACGCTGTATGCGTGCAAGGTTCGCATGAGAGCACGGCGCAGAGCTTTACAGCGTGTACTCGAGTAAGGCATACAAACAAGAGTCAGCGGCGGTGTAGCGCAGAGCTTTGGATACGTACATGTGCAGCAGCAGCAGCACAGGCGTCGAAGCTTGCAACAACGGGAGAGCATCCTATAAATCGGCCGATCAGGACGTAGCTCGGCGTTTATATACATACATACGTATGTATATATACAGGAGGAGCACGCATACACATGCACAGTATAGATATATTGGACAGGCTTGCAGGGCGACGCGCTGCTGATGGCAACGGCAAGAAGTGTCGCTATATGCGCGCTGTACACCGACACACACAAACACATACACATACTCACACACTGTGTAGATATAGCTGTGAAAGGGGGCGTCGCGAAGCGCAGAGGAGGCAAAAGTACATATACACACAGACTCACACGCAGACACATATCACGCGCACACGCCTAACCCTCCGTCCCTCCGGTTTTCCATGGCAAGCGCTTGCGCAGTGCCTGCGCAATTTCTGCTGCGGCTGTTCTACTGCGGGGGCCGACGTTTCAAAGCTTTGGGCGGCAGTGCGGTCGTAACTTTCGGCCAGACATCTCGCGCTCCGGTGCCTATACATCATTATGATGATGCGCATGCATATATTTTGCCCGCGTCTCCAGTGAAAGCTCGAGTGAGAGTTTCGGCAGCCGAGTGAATGTGTGCCAGATAGAGCGTATGCGATTACGAAGAACAGTCAAGTGCGTGCGCGCGTGCACGAGCGTGTCAATTATCGAGTGCAGTTGAAGGAGAGGGAGCAAAAGGAAAAAAAGAAAAGAAACAACAACAGTGCGCGTCCGAGCGAGTGTGCTGCTTTTCACACATTGAATACTATCGAGTGCTGGGCGAAGAGAAAAAAAAGAGTAAAATAAGAAGTTCGTCAGGCGTAATTCCCCGTGGGCTCTTGACCACACACAGAGCGAGCTTCGAATTCGCGTGCGGCGAGAAGCGGAGGTATTCGATTAAACGCGCTCGAGGCAGCGATAAGGCTATATCCTCGAAGTAGTCGCCGGAACGAACTGCACGTTGAGAAGCGCATAGTCAGTGCGGAGCAGTTAGTAACCGTCCGCGAGTTTGTTTATCAAACGTTTCTCTCTCTCTCTCTCTCTCTCTCTCGCTCTCTCACTCGCTCTAACCCAAGTCTTGCTAGAGTGCTTCGACACGCAGCTGGAGCAGAGAAGCTCTCGTGTTGTTGTTCTCTGTCTCTCTCTCTCTCTCTCTCTCTCTCTCTCATCTATATCTATACGTCGCGATGCAACGCGCATTCACGTAGAGACACGTCGCACCGTAGCGTTAAACTTCTATCTCTTGCCCACTCTTGCTCTATCTCTCCTCTCTCTCTCTCTCTCTCTCTCTCTCGCTTGCCTCTCGAGCTCAACGAGTTTTCGAGTTTAATTAACGGCGAGCTTTGCGAGACACGAGCGTATCCGGAGTACGAGTGGGAAAGAGCGAGGCGAAATTCTTCTTCTTTTATTTTATTTGCCAGCATGCACGCCGCCGATGAGAGAGCGAGAGAGCGAAAGAGGGAGCGCTAGAGAGTGAGCTTTTATGAAGGTGACAATGCCAGTTGAGCTACCCGCTCGCGAGTTTCGCTCTATAATCGCTCGCTTTTATAATAATGCGGTTTGTCGAGAGGCGCATTCAACCGATTTAATTGCTTTATTTACTCTTTTTCGCTTCTCTTAGGGCCTTCGTAACCGATAAATATTTACTATATACGTGCTACACAGTGTCCAATATACTGTTTTTGTTTACCTGCTCCCTTTCCGCGGTTAATGTGTAATTTACCATCTATTTTTCTGTGACATGTAGATACATCTAAAGCACCGTAGTTCATCCAGTGAGTTATTGTTCAGTGCGTGAAAACGATACACACATCCACATGGAAAGTATTGCATCGCATCGGCTAAGCCGTTCAATAATAACCCAAGATTTTTCAAATAAACAAAAGTAAAAATAATGAGCGACATGTGCGCGCGTAAAGCCAGAAGAAAAATTGCAACAGCCGCGATAAGCCGCATTATCTAGAAATAACAGCATATACGCGCAGTGAACTCGTTGCTCAAGAATGATGATAATAACTACTGGAAGAAGATTTTAATAAATAAACAATTATTATGAGGAGTTTAGCATTAGCTTTGAGCTTGCTCTTTGCCGGTAAGTACGAATGAACACGCCTTTGCTTGTTGGAAAAAAATTAATAAACGCAATGCACTTGCTATAATTACGTATTATGTGCGCTTGATTTAATGCGATCGAAATGAGATTTAAATGCGCATTGTCGAAAGATAAAAGTTACTTAAAAGAACTACTTAAGGAGCGTCGCAAAACGAATATCTTGTAATTGGATTTATCCGTCCTTTTGAACGGTCGTAAGAACCTTAATGATTTTTCAGTGATATAAAGTACGCTTGAACCGACGTGCGCGCTCGTTTCCCCTTGTCCCAATGATCGTTTCTTCTCCCAATTCTCGAAACGGTTCGAATGGGTTCTATATAGCTTCTAATTTGAGGCTTGGCAACAAAAAGTACGCGGCTTTAATGCACCGCTGAAAAATTTAAATTGAATCGCAGTAATGCCGTTGAGGAAAAAATCTCATACATATGAAAATCGCAAATATATTTCCTACGCTCACCTATCTATATACGTTTTATATTCAAATAAAATAATTACGACTAGAGCAGAAGCTCATTTCAAAGTACAAATATCGTAGCAGAGCGACATTTCTTAAATAGCTAAAATTCTAATAGATTGTTCTGCACACGTAGTTTCATGAGAATATTCGCGCAAAAAGGATGTAAAAATACTATATATCAAGTCCTCATAAAGAGGTGCATGCGGCTGCGATCATTTTACTTCGGTTTACATTTGTATCTACTAATGTCTCTGAAATAAGTGCGTAAATCTTAAATAAAGAAGCTCAAATAGTTCTCTTGAAAAGTTACAGGATCAAATACGAGAATAGTTTTTCCAATTGATTATATAAAAATGCATTTGATAGATATAAAGTTTTATTCAAAATAAGATTGAAAAATCAAAGTTTTCAAAATGTAAGCCGTTTCTGAAATGCTAAATTATATCTCGTGATTTCTTCTGGACATTTTGAAAATACCTGAACATCGACCCACGCAGTTCACAGCACATGGCACTTATATTTTAATTGATTTTACGAGATTCGACAATATTTCTCGTACTAGGCTTGTACGATTAATTTTCCAAGTATGATAATCGACGTAGGAGAGCGAGCAGCAGCCAGCACTAGCAGCAGCGGCACCAAACTTGTTAAACGAATACGCGCAAGGACGTGTAAAACGCCTTTATCGCATTACGTATTAGAGCGCATATATTTGTCCCGTCGAGAGCTTAAAGTTGAGAGACAAACAAGCAGCACAACGTCGCGATCGTCTTATAGTATAGACGTATATATGTACTCGTTGAATATTTGCGTCGTTTGAAATATTCCTCGCCGTTTCGGCGTGCAGATTTTTCTGCAGCTTTTATAAGCCTAACACTGTGACAAGTATCTATGCCATTATTGGAAGAAATAATCGTCCGTCCATTTGCGATTGCGCTTTGGCTTACTGTGATTACAGTTAAATACACGTGAAAAAGCCTGAAAAAGTCCATTAAAAGCGTAAGCTCGAGCCATAAATGATAAATCGTTCGCATTCCATCCTCGTGACAGCAGTGGGGCATAATAAATTCTCACCCCGTCAAGTTCGCTGAATTTTCGTGAGATTCCAATCAGTCAACAGTAGCTTTCCTCGTTATAATGGTGTATAAGTGCATAAAATCATACGCGATCCTATATATTATAGCGCGCCGTTCTGCCGCGTATCGTATAATGCATATAGGAGTAAGGCACATGTGCACTCGCGAGTAATTAAGGTGTACGAGCTCTCTCGCACTTGGACTAAAACGAGCACGTATATATCTATACGTATTCGGCGTGAGAAACTTAGCTCGAGCGCGTATTTTCAGATAGATCGAAATTGGACTAATCTCGAGCTTTCGAGCTCTACGAGACTTTGTGCCGCGCGCGCGCGCTATATATACGGTGGTGCGGTACAAACTGTGCCTGTTTTTCCTTACTTCGTTGTTTCATCTGCGAGCAAGAAATGACTTTCAGAAAGCTCGGAAACATTTGCATGAAAGCAATGTGTTGGTAATCGATTATTCGGTGTCACGCAGCTGGCATCAACTTGCCGCTTTGCTTCGCGTAATAAGCTGCATCCTATCTCCATACCTATATCGCATTCGAAATACAATCGACGTTTCGTTTTTACTCGTCAACGCATTTCTCATCAGTGGGCGTAACGAGTAAAACACGCTGTTGGCTGTTGCTCTCTTTGAGCGAGCAACAAAATCCCTCATTTAATGCATTTTTTCCTTTTCTCCTCCTTCCCCCTCTCTTCTCTCTCTACCCCAAACGAGAAGCAGTGAGCTGCTGTTGCTTGGCAAGCACAAAAGAGCAAACCTTGGAGGTGCGCGTCTTTACGAGATCAAAGCTACTTCGGCGCGCGTCCGTTGTGTTGCCATAAGTAAAGCACGAACACAAGTTTTGAAATCCGGTCTGCATAAACTTTTGCTACTGCCTTTTTTTTTTTCTCTTTTTTTTTTATTTTTCATACGCGTACATGCGCGGAAATGCGCCTCTCGAACTGTTCGAGAACTGCAATCTCATCGTTAGGCCCAAGACGCAGCGAAATAAAAACATTGTTTGTAAGGGTATCTGTAACTTAATTTAAACTCTTTTTTTTATGGAATACCTTTTCATCTTGCACGTATAACCCGGGGTATTCAAGTACCTCAATTGCCAAAAAAAAAACGTATATAAACACAGACGCTCACGACTGACGGCACCTAGATTCATTCTTGTTCACTCGCATGTCAATGTCTCTTTCTTTTATGACTACAACTACAGCTGTGTGCGAGCGTGTGCGTCTCAAAGCTCGCTTTCGCTTCAATTACCCAACTTTCTTACTCCCCGCTGCTTTTCCTTGTCTCTTTTTCATCCGTTTGTTTTTCCTTTTTCTCTTCTTTCTTTTACTTTCGCTGTACTGCATGCATCCCATTCAGCTCGCAGTAGAGCGCGTGCAACTGCTTTTATTTTCTTCTTTACTTCTTCTTCTTCTTCTTCTTCTTCTACCTTTCCATAAAGAAACATCGAATCTCTCGACTAAGCGCACCGAAAAAAAAATTTACCTTGGCTAACCTGCAGTTGTCTACGAGAGAAATAGAGAAAGAGGAAGAGAGAAAGAGAAACAGAGAGGGTAGAAAAGCTGACCCAAAACGAAAGAAGCGGAAAAAGTAGTGAAAAGAGCTCGCTCGGGCAGAAAGGGAAGAAGAGCACACGCGAACCATCCTAACTTACTCATACACTTCACCCCCCCCCCTCTCCTTATTCGGCTTTTCTTTTCAATGGTGTCGTATAGTGCAGCTATATATGTATAAACGCACCTGCACGCGACAGTGTGTATATATAACTTTATACAATGATACTTTTGTGACTTCTCGATGTACAGAGAAAGCGAAGAGAGAATAGCCGAGTGTGTGTCTTTTCTGAAAGGAATACAGTCCATTTTCGAGTGAACGATTGCGAAGGAGGGAAAGAGAAAAAGAGAGAGACGCTTTGATGCATTATATTGGAATGTAGCTCGCGCGCTCACGTTGTACGTTTTAACTTTTAGAGGGATGGGATGGGATTTAAGGGGCTACATCGCCCTAAGAAAACTATTATAAGAGGTATCTCATATCGAGGATCGATCATGGGTATTGTGTAGGACCAAGGTCCCGCTTTGATCTAAGTTTTTCTGCCCTTTGAAGGTTGAAGCTGCATATGACCATACAATAAAACATCAAATTAAATAATATTATCGAGACTCATAAAGGTGTACAAAAAGAGAAAACGTTTATCACGACTCGGTGTTTGACTAATTATTAATGTTACACAAGGGGCAATGTGTATAAATGTAAACAGACTTTGCACGCGCTCCGGTACGCGTAACTGTCAGATATTCTTTTGTGATTAAATAATTTCCTGAAAAACAGTAAATAATTGGCAGTATTGCAAAATACACGTGCAGTTGGGAAGTGAACATGATTAAAAAATTGTATACGCGTCATAGTACCCGGGAATATCAGGCATCTGTAATCATTTATGCGAGCGGCACGGCTCGGATTAAATTCGCAAGCTGTAACAGAATTCGATGCTCATACTAATTAATTGCACTTTATAAAAGTTGCAGTTACCGGGATTATTCATCAATGGCGTACAGAGCGATTTGTATCACGTTACGATTCAGTAATATACGCATTTAATTAAAATAAGCAAAATATTTTTGGGGCGGTGGATCGAAGATTTTGTGCCTTCTCCCTCTTTCATTGAATTTTCGTACCCAGCCTGGACTATCTATATAAATGTGGGTCTATATGATATCGAATATATGTCTCTCTATATTATAAGATAATATATATATCTATACACGCTACACAGCGCTCGAAAAGAGAAAGAGAGTCTCCGCAATTAAAGCCCGAACACTTGTCGCTGATGGACGATTGGTTTTGCTCCAACTCGAATTAAAACGAATAAACTCGATCGTTCTTTGCGCGAATAATGAAATTTACAGTTTCTCAAACTCACATTTTTATCTTCTGTGCCATAATGAAAGTCGATGCTTTGTTCCTCTCTTCCGCAAATTTGTACAGATATATATACTCTGTTCAAGAATTATGGCAATGTTTGTTATTGGAAGTACTTTTATTTCTTGCGGTAAATTAATCAATCGTAAATCGAAACGAGACCGCGAGTTTTCAATTCCCAATGGGTATAATGGCATCGCGTCTCGAGTTTTAACGATATTACAGATAGACGGGGAAACGAATATTTGAAAGCTTAATGTCAGCAGTGGTTAACGTTCCATTAACTGCCAAGTGTTTCACAAGAATTTCTTTGGGCTTTCGAGTTTGTTCAAACATTTCGCGAATAAGCTCCAGTAATTCAATCTATTTTCGCTGACCTGACAAATACCCATGAACTCTTCACACTATACAGTTAGTTTTAAAATAAAAGTTGCATTTAAGAATCAAGCGCACGATTAAAATCGAAGCATTTTTTCAATCAAATTTGATCGAAGAAAAATATTAATTTTGCTCAA